TCATAAACCAAGGTGCCACTGTACACCCTTTCTTATCTGCAGTTTTCCAAACTTAAATACAATACGATGGCAAACAGAGCATTTTTAAACCTCTCCTACATTGAACATGCTCACATTTCACTGGATGTCAGGACTGGACACCCACTTTCCCCATCTGTTCTGAACAGAGGAGGTAGAAAGAGCTCCTCTCTGTGAGTGAGTGTTGTGGTGGCAGATGTAGGTGACTTTCCCCCCATGGATGTAGCTGCTGAAATGCCTACACCATTTTGTGCTTCTATCTCTTTTTTCAGCTCTTAGGGCAAATCCACACTATAGATGTAAGGCATATTCAATGCATGTTTTAAAGCGCATGACCTCCCCCAAAGAAACCTGGGAGATATAGTTTCACCCTCACAGAGCTACAATTCCTAGCACCCTTAACAAACTACAGTTCCCAGGATTCTTCAGGGGAAGCCATGTGCTCTAAATGTGCACTGAATGTGCTTTAAATGTGTGGCGTGGACCCACTCATATTTTGGAGAAAGATGTTGGCATATGGCTTGGCTTGCTTGCACTAGTCATTTGTCCAGGGGTGGGGGTGGGGGTTGGCCCTCTATGCACTCTGTTTGCATGCCATGTCTTCTCTTTGCTTTTTAATATGTCCCGCTAATAGTTTCTTGCTCAGAAACTCTCAAGATCCCAAAGCCAGCCCTGTGATCTGTGGTGAATACAGCAGAATCTCAGCACTACGGACCTCAGAGATACAGCCCTAGGATGAGTCATAACTCAGTGGCAGAGTACATGTTCTGCATGCAGAAAATCACAGGCTGAATCCAAGCATAGCTGTCAACTTTTCCCTTTTCTTGTGAGGAATCCTATTTGGAATAAGGGAATCCAAGTTATCTGTAGCTAAAAGCAGCTGGTGAAAGAGTCAAAATCAACATTACCGGGCTATTCAGACCAGTGATTTTATACATTATAAAGCAGCTTCACAAATAAAAAGGTTTGCTGAGTTACTCCACCATAGCACAAATGGGATGCCGTTAACATATGTTTTGTGGTATATGATGAACTTCTCAATATAAGTTGCTGCTCCTACTGAAAGATCCTGATAAGTTTAAAACAGCAGAATCTCTTGTTCAGGTACTTAGTAGCGCAGGGCTGTCAAACTCAAATTCATCGGGGGCCGCATCAGCAGTTTGGTCACCCTCAAAGGGCCGGTTGTATCTGTAGGACTTACAGTACAAGAGAGAAGGGTTCAGGCAGCCGTTGGATCTGTCACATCACAGGATGGCATGCGCTCAATATAAAAACAAGTGGAGGTTTCCTGAATGCATGTAAAGTGGAGGTTTCCTGTGTAGAACGGCCGGCACCGCTAAAGGGCCGACGTTCTCTGGCTTGTAGGTTGCCGTGCATGCGCTCAAAAGGCGGCTTTCTTGTGTCAAAAAAAAAAAAAAAAGCGAGAATAAAAGGTGAAGGCTGGCGGCCAGCGGCGGCTACACAGGCCACATGACGAGGTGTGGCGGGCCGGATTCGGCCCGCGGGCCTTGTGTTTGACACCCGTGTAGTAGCGTGTACTAAGATTAATAGAAATTCTATGGATTACATAGTGATCCTGGTTTTCTTCTATGGTGTCGTGATTTGATATTTTTAATTGGTTCTGTAACAACTGTAAAATTTAATGACTGTGCAAGGTTTGTTTCCTTGACATACAACTAAATTCGTATAATGGCAAGTGGCCATATCAGATTAAGTGGGTGATTATGATGATGACACATAGAACCATGGAATCATGGAATTGTAGAGTTGGAAAGGGACCACAGGGGTCATCTAGTCCAACCCCCTGCAATGCAGGAATATTTTTGTCTGATATTGGGCTCAAACCCACAACCCTGAGAGCCTCATGCTCTACCAACTGAACTATCCATGCAAATTACTAACCTAGTATTTGATGCCTGTCACCAGACTAAGCTAACGTGTCACCCCTAGTTTACAGAAAACAATAATGGCTACCCCCCCCTCTTCTAACTTAAAACCAGAATTTCTCTGTTTTTCATCAACTTCAGTGCGTGCCCCCAAAATATCTGTTAACTAATGTTATGTTCTGGTCCAGTGCTTTTTTTCTGGAGGGATGCAGGGGTACACATACTCCTAAAGATTTTGTGAATCTTTGTACTTTTGTCCATTTACTGTATTTATTTCCCCCGCTGTGAACTATAAAATGGTGGTTTTATTGAGTCAAAATGAGAGTACCCCTAAACATTTTTTTTTAGAAAAAAAGCACTGGGTCCACACCTCCCTCCTTTTGAAGTGGAAGAATGGAAGCAAGGGAAAACATCAGATAAAATTCATTCTTTCCCCATTGTTATTTATTTAAAACATTTTCACTCTGCTCTTCAGCCCAAAAGCTGTATTTTATAGCTTTCATCCTATGCTGAACACATACCTCTTTGCCCTGGCCTTTGACACCTGAGAGAATTTTAAGGCCCACCTATTCTTCTGATTGTATTTGTTTTAACTGATTTCAATACAGTCATACCTCGGGTTGAAGTAGCTTTGGGATAATTATTTTCAGGTTGCATGCTGCGGCAACCCGGAAGTAACGGAGCGTGTTACTTCTGGGTTTCGCCGCTCGCGCATGCGCGGACGGTCAAAATGACGTCATGTGCAGAAGCGGCCAATTGCGACCCGTGCACGCGCAGATGCACGGACACGGGTTGCATTCGCTTCTGGATGCGAACAGGGCTCTGGAACAGATCCCCTTCTCATCCAGAGGTACCAGTGTACAGTGCTACCTTGAGTTACAAATGCTTCGGGTTACAAACACTTTGGGTTACAAACTCAACTAACCCGGAAGTAGTACCTCGGGTTGATAACTTTGCCACAGGATGAGAATGGAAATTGTGCAGCGGCGGCAGTGGGAGGCCCCATTAGCGAAAGCGTGCCTCAGGTTAAGAATGGTTTTGTGTTAAGAACGGACCTCTGGAACAAATTAAGTTTGTAACCCGAGGTACCACTGTATTTTATTTTTGTACTTTGTCACTCACCTTGGGACCTTATGATGAATAAATAATGCCACTCCTAAAGCGGCTTATAGTAATCAGGCGTAAAATCTAAAAAGACACGACACACAAGGAAAGGGGGATTGGAAGGGAAGAGAAAGCAAGAAAACTCAAGCACCAGTTCTCAAATTTACAAAGGTCCTATAAGAACGACCGAGGAGAAGACGAGACAAAAAGAGCTGGCATCTCAGCAGAGCCAATGGAGTGGCCCTGCTTCCCATCTTTCCCTGTGCTGCAGCAGTCTGGTGATGACTGATAGCAAAGCAAAGGTCACATAGTGGCATTTCCCCCAGCACCCTCAGACTTCCTCAGGGCCATTGGTGTTCGCCCCACCTTGCTGCCTTCCAAAACCAGCTCTACCTATTTTTCTCAGTTCCCTTCCTATTGAAAACTGCAGCCATTAATAGTCCCAGGAGCTGGAGTCACCCATTGACTTTTTTTTTTTTAAAGCCCAGATCCTAAGAGATGCTCCTGTATTTAATGTATTATCTCTGTTCAAGCTTTTAAGTGAAAGTGGCTTTTGTGAAATGCTGATAAGATTAACTCTGCTCAGGATAATTTATGGCAAAACCCCTGGTATTGATTTCTCTCTCTCACCCTCCCCACCCCAACCTTGCAGTTTTTTGCTCAGCGTAGCTTCCCACACAGATGTGTGCAGCGTGATCTAACTCACAGTCATATGATCTCAAACTGTGACTCACCTACTCCTCCGAATCTTTGGCTTTATCAAGCATGGCGAAGCACAGCCCCGCCAGTTTGCAAGACTTCTGCTCTTAACAGAAAACAGAGCACGCATATAAATACACCGTTGCCTCCCTTTCATAGCATAGATCGTACAAGTTCTTCAATGGATAAATGATCTCAAGGGGAATTTTTCAAATATTTGATTCGAAAAGCCTCTTCATAAATACCCTCCCCCTCTTAAAATCTACACCTTAGACTTGGGAGCTAATTGCAAAATTATATGAAATGCATTGCAACTTCTTTGTTTTTACATTATATATGATGCCATATTAGGGATGGGAACATTGATTCTGTTTGCATCTAAAGGCGACTCCATCCATATGGAAACTACACACAGCCATCCTTCAGAATTTACGCCAATACAGATTTTGCACTACAATTCTCCCAACTGACTTTTTTCCCTTTTCTTTTCAGAAATGCATATATTAGGGGAAAGTGTGCATAAGAATGAATATATTAGAAAATAATAACATACAAAAATGCATTAGATTAGGGAAAATTGCTTACAGAAATGTATGCATTAGTCAACGTTAGGAATGGTGAGATCTAATTCTGGTTCTCCCACTTTCTCATTTTACGAACCATAAATTCAGTTTTCCACGTTTCTGCAGCAATTATCCATAGATAGATAAATAGATAGATATAATTCTCAAGAACATGCATCACAGTTTTAGTGTGAACTTCTCCTAGCACGCACATTTTTGTTTGCAGTTTTGACTAATGTACACATTTTTGCAAGCAATTTCCCTTAATAGAATGCATTTTTGTATGTTATTTTCACCAATAAATTCATGCACACTTTCCCCTAATACATGCACTTCTGACAGTCAGGAAAAATGAGAAAACATTTGTATTTACCCGGGCGTTTGATGGCTGGAATACACTGTTCTTGGCAACCCTGAAATCACTGGATAAGGTTATGTTTTTAACTGTAACTGTTTTAGAATGTTTTAATTGCTTTTAGAATGCTTTTTTATTGTTTTGTTTTGAATGTGTTTGCTACTCTAGGCTCCTTCAGGTGGAGGGGCTGCATATAAATTCCATAAATAATAAGAAATGGGGAGATTTTGGAATGGGTTTATGTATTTCTCTGCTATCATTTTAAATTAAGGAGTATATCTTTTGAACGTTTTCTGATTGGAACTTCTTTCTCTTTATTTTTCTAGATAATTTTTAAACAGCTGTGATTTCTCTCTCTCTCAATATTTACTCTAGTATATGGGCTGTATTGAAGTGTTGCAGTCAATGAGATCTCTGGATTTTGGCACTCGGACACAAGTTACCAGGTAAGTGGTTGAAGTTTGAAAATAGCAGCTTACTAAATAGTGAATCCTTTATTTTGCAGGTAGAAGTGATTGCTTTTCAATGACTTTTTAACATAGTCCTTTTTGTTCTGCTTGAGGCTACAATATCAGCTCATAGGGCCGGCCCTCTCATGAGGCGAGGTGAAGCAGTCACCTCAGGTAGCAGATGTGGCATCTGAGAAGCACATCACACACCACCCGATTTCCTCTAGCCTCCTATTCCCCTGCTAGCTTCCTAGGCTGTCCTGGCAGCTCACAAAGTGTAGACATCAATAAATAAAAAATGCAGCCACACGCAAATATTCTCACGTGGGAACTTGTACATTCTTATTTCTACTGTAATTTTCAAGAGGGTAAGAGAAGCAATAGTCCTTTTTGGAAAAATGGGAGAACTGGCTTTTAAAGAATCATTACTACAGTCTAAATGAAAGAGAAAGGGGGACTTTTTGTTGGTGGCTCCTGACTCCGAAATCTCTCTCTAGGGAGGCCTGCCTGGCACCCAGGTTAAGATTTTTCTGTTTTCAAGATCTAATTTTAAGTCCCTGTGGTACAGTTGATAGTTGTAATATATGAACGTATCTGATAGCTGTTTTTGTTCTGCACTGTATGCACTATTTTATTGTGCCTGTTTTGTATTTAGGTCTTTATGTTGGTCATCTCAAGATTATTGTGGTTTTACCAGAGCATGCTTTTATTTTATTTGCATTACACCTAGAGAAGATATTTTATGAGGTGTCTCATAAGTATATATATAAAACACCCTGCTTTTCCCTTAAGCCCTCTGTGGCACCATTGTGAGTCTCCCTCTTGGGACTAATAACAACTTGGCTGGTGAAGGGTGGGAAACTTGCATGCGATCTGCAGGGGAGAAGAGTTTAATCAGCTATTTACATTTTAAAATAAAATAAATTGCACCCTTAATTGCTTCCATGCACTTAACATCACAACTAGCTTGGCCCTTAAAGGGAGGAAGAGAATCAGTGGTAACCACAATTAATAGCTGGCTAGTATGCCAATCCAAAGCTTGAGTAACCTTGAAAATCTCATTTAAAAACTTCTGTTGTACAGATTTCTGATATGCTTAGCCATATTCTGTACAGGCTACATATGGCTATGCTTCATGCCATTCTATTTTTCTCTCTCAGACAATTCAACATTAACTTTATGCCATATGTACATCAGATGGATTCCAAACTGTTCTGTAATCCTTGTGACATTGGCCTTATCAGCTCCCCAGAGGTTGTGGATGATGATTTCTGAACACACAAACCTAACCTTATAATAACGCAAAGACCTCTTTTTCTAGTGAGGCACAATTTGGGAACATACATTCTATTGCATATCATAGAAGAACATTCAGAACTGATCAGAAAGAATGAGAGCTTTCAACTCTAGATCAGAGATTCTAATCTATCCCACTATATGAGTAGTAAAAACTCACAAATATTGTCTCCTTCAACCAACTCATCTAATGCTTCCCCATACTTAAAACTGCATAGCCATGTATTAAAGGTAAAGGTACCCCTGCCCGTACGGGCCAGTCTTGACAGACTCTAGGGTTGTGCGCCCATCTCACTCAAGAGGCCGGGGGCCAGCGCTGTCCGGAGACACTTCCGGGTCACGTGGCCAGCGTGACATCGCTGCTCTGGCGAGCCAGAGCCGCACACGGAAACGCCGTTTACCTTCCCGCTAGTAAGCGGTCCCTATTTATCTACTTGCACCCGGGGGTGCTTTCGAACTGCTAGGTTAGCAGGCGCTGGGACCGATGTATTAGATTAATGTTAATAACATTCCACATTTTATTTAGCTGAAGGGGCTTGTTTCTGGAGCTAATTTCAGGCTGCTAATAGTTAGCAAGTATCAGGAAATAAAGCAGCACCTCTATTTGTCGTCTTGATCTAGGTTTTATGCATTTCCAGTATATAGCCTGGTAACCAGTTATACCACATGGCGTTATGTGGCAGACAGAATGTGTAAAAGAATTCAGGCATGCCCAGAAATTGGATGGAACAGAAACTGCACCAAATGTTTGTGCTCTACTGCATATGTGATGCACAAAAAAGTTCTTTTCCACAGAAAATGCAAGCAACTGATGGGGCAGGGTGGGAGGAAAGCAAGTGGATCCGAAGAAAATGACTTGTTGTCAACATTAGGCAACTATCCCAAGAATAGGAATTGAGAGAATCTGTCCGTTGCAGTTTCTCAGTTTTTCATTTTTCCAATCTTAAATTCAGTTCTCATTTCCACATTATTTTGCTTTCTTTTCTTTTCTTTTCTTTTAGAATTCTGCATGAAAATTCACCAGCATTTTAGTGCAAATTTCTCTTGATAGACTTACGTTTGTATGCAATTTTGCCTAATATGCACATTTATACAAAGCATATAGTGCACTAATATAGTACACTTTTGTATGTTATTTGCAGCAGTATATGCATTTTAATTCACACGTTACCCGAGTTACACACATCTTTGTGCACCTCACATGACTGGAGAACTGCATTGCTAAATTCAAAGGAGTGCAGATTTTGAAGGGCGGATGTGTTTTGGTCCCCGTATTGTTTGGAATGTGTGGATGAAGTCTGTTCACTTAAATGGGAAGTGAATGAAATTTCTCCCTCGTCCTTAACCAAGAGGGATCTGTTCAGGCATCTAGACATGTAGCTGATGAAGCTGAGTGTCCACATTGTGATGTTCATATGAACCCCACTGAACAGATACTGAATGCCCCTTTTGATGTAGATGAGGACGTACATCTTCTTCCAAGACTTCTAGTCATTGTAGATGCCCGGTTGCATGCAACTAGAACTGCCTTCAGAGGCTGACATTTACAATGGGCACCAAGCCATTTGAATCACTGTCCTGTTTTCTTCTGTTTTTGCATGCATGGTCTGGGGGGAAAAATCAGTCTAGAAAATACGTTTGGCTGCCCTTTTGTCTCTCAAGTTGCCACGCAGAACATATTATTGTGTCATGGGCCCTGTTTATATCACTACTATTTATCAAAGTGATAATGGAAGGGAAATGATGTTCAGTGGTTGGTGTTGAATCCATTTCGTTTTATAGGCTAGCAAGTCTCAGGCTTCAGCTTAGAAAGCCGTGAAGAGCCTGTAGCTAGATATTATTTCACTAATATATTGCCCACCAACGAATGAATATCATAAAATGTCTCCATTCAGCAGGAAACAATAAAGACAACCCATGGTTCCCTGAAGGCTATTTAAGCATGAACTACACTGTTCTGTATGTCATCTTGAGACGTCTATAACTTCCTCTGCAAACAGATTTTCTGCTGTACAGTGCTTACAAGGAAGCACAGATGTGGTATTCCTATGTTAAATCTAACACTGGAATTAATTGCTCCTGTGTTTCACTTCCACATGTTGGAGGGGAATCTTATATGCCTTTCCTCTGAGAACAGGCATGCTTTCCTAATAATAATAATAATAATAATAATAATAATAATAATAATAAATTTTATTTATATCCCGCCCTCCCCAGCCGAAGCCGGGCTCAGGGCGGCTAACACTAAAACAGTACAACATTATAAATACATTCTAAAAATTAATTAAAATACAAATTGATGGCAACCATAGACTAAAGCTTTGTAGAGATTGCCAAAGGAGGGAGTCAGGCTGCGCCCTGACCAAAGGCCTGGTGGAACAGCTCTGTCTTACAGGCCCTGCGAAAAGATGTCAAGTCCTGCAGGGCCCTTGTCTCTTGCGACAGAGCGTTCCACCAGGTTGGAGCCGCAGCCGAAAAAGCTCTGGCTCTAGTTGAGGCCAGCCTAACCTCTCTGTGGCCCGGGACCTTCAAGATGTTTTTATTTGAAGACCGTAAGTTCCTCTGTGGGGCATACCAGGAGAGGCGGTCCCGTAGGTACGAGGGTCCTAGGCCGTATAGGGCTTTGAAGGTTAAAACCAGCACCTTAAACCTGATCCTGTACTCCACCGGGAGCCAGTGCAGCTGGTATAGCACCGGATGAATGTGATCTCGCAGCGAAGACCCCATGAGGAGTCTCGCTGCGGCATTCTGCACCCGCTGGAGTTTCTGGGTCAGTCTCAAGGGCAGCCCCACGTAGAGCGAGTTACAATAATCCAGTCTGGAGGTGACCGTCGCGTGGATCACAGTGGCTAGGTCAGGGCGAGAGAGGTAAGGAGCCAACTGCTTAGCCTGGCGGAGATGAAAAAATGCCGCCTTTGTTATAGCTGCAATCTGCGCCTCCATGGAGAGGGAGGTATCGAAGATTACACCCAAACTCTTAACGGACGGTGCTGGCATTAATTGCACCCCCGCAAGTGAAGGGAGCTGCCCCCTCAATCTCATATCGTCCCGTCCCAGCCAGAGGACCTCTGTCTTCGAAGGATTTAACTTCAACCGGCTCCCACGTAACCATCCAGCCACAGCTTCCAAGCATCTGATCAGTGTGTCTGGGGCCGAGTCAGGATGGCCATCCATCAACAGATAGAGTTGGGTGTCATCAGCATACTGATGGCAGCCCAGCCCAAAACTCCGGACAAGCTGGGCAAGGGGGCGCATAAAGATGTTAAAAAGCATCGGGGAGAGAATCGCACCCTGAGGCACTCCACACACCAAGGAGTGGCGGGATGACAATTCCCCCCCAAGCGCCACCCTCTGTCCCCGACCAGAGAGAAACGAGCGCAGCCATTGAAGGGCTGTGCCCTGGATCCCCATGTCGGCAAGGCGGTGGTCCAGGAGTTCGTGATCGACCATGTCGAAGGCTGCTGACAGGTCTAGAAGAATCAGCAGCCCCGACCCACCTCGATCCAGCTGCCTACGGAGATCATCTGTTAAGGCGACCAGAGCTGTCTCGGTCCCATGACCAGCGCGGAAGCCGGACTGGAATGGATCCAGAGCCGATGTTTCATCCAGAAACCTACCAAGCTGTTCCGCAACCGCTCTCTCAATCACCTTACCCAGGAATGGAAGATTCGAAACTGGGCGGTAATTGGATAGATCTAAGG